TGATAATGACGTGGTATCGCGACGACAATCATCGCGAGGGCACAGGGTCGAAGTAAATTTTTTTTTTTTTTTTTAAAGCGCGTGTCTTTGCCCAATGGATCCAGAGATGGACGAAATGGTAACTTTGTATACGTTGTTGTTCCCATAGAGTTTAGAATTGAAATTGAAGTGTTTATGTTATTTAAACGAAGGCTTATGTTAATAATGTAGGCTTATCTTAATGTAGTGGAGCAAACCTATCGAATAGATCACAATTGGCAAATTTTTCGCATGTTCGATGGATCATTAATTACAGATACAATTATAGACGCGCTATCTTATCGTTGGAGACTAAATAATTCCATCCAGAAGAACGTGAAATTATTCACGTTTTAGCCATGTCGTATGTTTCCAAGGTACAGAAATGTTCGTATTCCCTTGAAAAATTCATTTTTACTCGAAATGGTTCGTACGGAAAGAATCGAAGGATAACGGATCGGTTGCAGGTCCGATGCTAGGCGCGAACGAAATGGAAAACGTCCGGTTCGTCGGCAGTCGGTGCTCGTACCACTTTCCCTGTTTACTCGAGGATGCTTTGAAACGCAACACTGTGTCGTCTATCGCACAGCAATTTTACTTGCGGTCGCACGTCTGATCTACGAGGATTGCGTACAGCTCGCCGTCTAATGGAAATTCGATAGAAGTCGTCCGTGGAAATCGGCCAATTAGCCGCCGCCTGTATGCGTTGGCGACCGTTTAAAGGGCATGGAATGAAACAGGACCGTTTGCTCGCGCGCGTTCGCAATTAGGTCGGTAATCAACGTGTTTAGGCTCATCTCACGGTGAACCCATCAGCTTCTCGCGAACGAAACGACCCGAATTTTAATGAAAATTTCAACTGCCACAGAGAATGTTATTCTCAGTTGATTTACCGTTGGTCAATTACTTTTGGTGCAATTAATCTTTAAGTGCATCGTTATCGTGGTTTCTACTGTAGAATAATATTTCTACTCTTTTCTGTTTACATGTAAACGCGTCTGTTATTTTTATAATTCGCGGTAGTGCCTATCAGGCAAAGATACGGATTTAAAAATATATAAGCAGAGATATATGTTCCTGAGATATAAATATTCTCCTTTTATACGTAGATTCGTTATTTTTATATCTATTGCAGTGCCTGTCAAGTAAAGATACGAGTTCGAAAAAGAAGCAAGTGTCTATCTTTGAATTGATAGGCAGTGCTATCGATGTTATCATAAAAATAACCGATGAGTATACGCGAGGAAAATGTTTAGAAATATTTTGTATCAAAGAACACGATACCAATGTGCTTAAAAATTGGATTGAATGACAGTGATCGTCGCTCCTCAAATGTAACTAAATTCCGTTCACATTTTGCGGAGCTAATCAATATATGCATGCGATGTGGGGGAAGCCTTATCGTGCCACATTGTTGCATACACAGTATTCACTTCGTAAGTCCTCGCTGATGCGACATTGCACGCCTTCGAAACAAAGCTCGATATTTATTGGCTCGCTCTACTAATCAATGAATTACGATTGACACTTTATTTACGAGAGCTTGTCGATGTATCCGGTATGGAAAAATGAATGTCAACCTAGAGTAACATATGCTAATGTTCTCCGGTTGAAAATAGTTACCCACCTGTTCAAAATAAATTTTACTGTAAAACGTGAGACGTTCGCGTCGCGATGATAACGATTTCCCCATAGATCGCCAGGAACAAATTCATTGCGCCGAACGGTGCCACGTAATTTCGTTCCGTCTTCCAGTTCATCGCGGTGCATTGAAACTATAGCGTTACCAACCGCGATCGTTTTGCTTACGGTCCCACGTTTCACCTACGACCGTATTGCACACGTATCCTCGTATTTCCGCGCTACCAACACGCGCGGCGTCGATTTGTCCCAGTAGTCGTCGCCTGAGCGTTCAAAAGGAACGACTATACGGTCCCACGGAGCCCAGAAAGTGCCTTCATCTAGGACCGACTAGGACCGACTTGGTTATTTCTAAAATAACCAAGTTCAATGTTTGTTGCGCAAGTAAGAGTAGGGGAATTCATCAGAGAGGTTACCGCGAGGAGTAACAAACCCTGCCGGGTAGACTCTTTGCGAGAGTCTTGTAGAGTCTTCCGAGGACATTCTGGAGCACCTGGAGGGTTATGGTAACTGCAGGAGGTCTTGTTCCGTCGAGTAAGTTGTCAATTGTGATATTTGGCTAGTTTAAGAGTTGAGAAAAATGCATAGAGATTGAACTATCCACTTTGACCCCCGAGTCATTTTTGCCATACCTCGTATCGGATCTCGAACTCTGTCAGTCATGCTCGAGATCTCGGTATTCTGTTCGAGGACTGTACCTTCCAACAGCTCTGCTTCCCTCGAACCCAGAGGACGACCTGTCCGAGGTCGGTCGCAGGGCGCGATATTCGGGGCTTCTCGAATGTTTCCTGTCATTTAGCGGCAAATGGATCACGTAAGTGCCAGTTCGCGCGGAGGTCGGAGCGAGCAAGACGGAGAAACGCCGCGAGAGACGAAACGAGAGAGATAGGGAAAATGGACAAACGAAATGACGGACACGGGGAATTTATACGACGGTCCCGTTCACGGGCAATTGCCCTGCTCGTCACGGACCAGAATAATGTCGCGATACGTGCAACACGCCTAAACGCACGGAGAGGAAACAAACGCGGATGACGACGGTGGAGATCCCGTGGTCTTGCGACTCGAGACGGATCGGCGACGGTCGTTGTTGTCCGCGTCTGGCCTTGCGCGTTATTATCGTATAGATTCCTCTAGTCAGCAGTCTGCAATGCCGTTGAATTGGCAATGAGACGCGGACGACGAACGACTGGCCGCGGTGGAGACGTTTAACCTTGCAGCGAACGGGGACGCGAGCAAAAATTGGTAGCTTCGATAGTCGAGGATCTGCTCACCCAGAGTTTTCTAGATCCGACTGGGAAGGATTCCGCGGGACTAGTTTTGGCGGTGGTTTCACGAAGTTGGTGGAGGATTAGGGTTGAGGGAATGAGTTTTGGGCTGAGAGGGTGGAGAAACTTCGAGGAACAGGTGTTTGATTGATGGGAATGGTGTTAAGGGGAGAATTTGATAACGAAAGCGGGTGCATTTTAGTGTTGGCGAGATGAGGGAGTTTGTGACTGTTCAAGGGTAGTTGTACAGTGGCGAGGCTGAAGATGTGAGCATAAGTCTCAAGATTTACGTAACAGGTGTATAACGATGAAAAGCGAAGAAAAATTGATGTATCACGCGAAGTGAAGGTAGCGTCTAATAATTGGGAGATCACCACTTTAGCAAACAAAATTAAAAACAAGACGGATGTTTGACGTGAGAGATGCTGGAGATTCCGAAACTGGGCGATGTCCAAAGTGAATAAACGAGGGCGTGAGAATCGAGGCAACGTTTTAGTGACTAGATGTCCGTTTGATGTGGATAATGTTATATAGCATTTGTTGCCGGAATTGAACGAAGTTCGATGTACAAAGTGAATCGAAGATTGGCGTATAACGGTTTGGGAATTGAGTCTCTGCTTGCACGTTGCTCGACGCGGTGTTCTGGAAAATAGGGGTATCTATTCGACGCTGATGGCGTCGGAGTCTTCGTTAAAACTGGACAGAGCCAAGTGCTCGAAGTAAGTTACAATTGCTGAGAAATATTTAAGTTTTTAATATCAATTTAATTTATTTACCCATTCTAAGATTTTTGTATGGATACCTCTCCGCCTACTTCTACCGTAAATAGAAAATTCCACTTTGCCAAACAAAGAAATAAACGCCATCGGATCCCGCGGATTCCCGTGCTGGCGGAGGATTTTATAGCTCCGAATCTGAAATCGCGAGACGATCCGATAAGAGGCTACCAGTTTTCAATAGGGAGTCGCTCCCTCGCAAAATCAGACGTCGTTTTTACGAGCGAGTCGCGAAATTTTCCGTCGCCTCCGATAAATTCTATCGTCACTGGCCAGTTCTCTAAAAATTTTACGCCCGACGAATGCGTCCCGTGATCCCAGATTGCGTTTGTATCGTTTCTTGTTCTCGCCTGTGATCGTAAACAGAGAGACGACTCCGCGACTTAGGGATGTTCGCCAGGATCGAAAACACGAAAACAATTTTCTTTTATTCGTTGGCCGCCTCCCCGCGGGACATTCCATTCGATTGTTGTATTCGATGGACGGGGCACGTCTTGCGTGAGATAGGCACGTCATGAGTATTTATATTTGTATTTATGTTTATATTTACATACGTATGACGAAGACACTGTGCATCGTGAAGAATATTACATTGACGGCGTGAAAAGAATTTTGTCTTGGCAAAAAGTTTGTTTTAATCTTTGTTCTAAAAACGTCTTCTTTGAAAATATGGCGGCATCTCAGCTGGTGGAAACGCGTCTTTGTCCACAGTTTCCGAAATTGCCCCATAAACGGATGCACCGTTTCAGGAGGAAAGTTTAGCGACTCGTTCGACGACAAAACTCGGAGCCATGATATTTAGTGGCCGTCGAAATGGTCCACTTGCCTCTTCGGAACGCTGTCGTTACCGTTAAGTGGTCCCGGCTATTTCTGTTACGTAACGCGTTGAACGGCCGTAACTGCAGGTGGTTGATAAATTATTAATTGACCCGTAATCGAATTTGCTCGACCACTACGCACGTAGCTTCGCGACGTCGATGTTATAGCGGGGGAGTTTAGGATTCTTTCAGAAGTTTACCGATTATCATACGAGTACTCGGAACCGGGATACAAGGCAGTTTTCAAGAAATTATAAAATATCGTAGGATGCAGGATAACATGAAATACTTGTATGCGATTAAACAATTTTTTTTATTAGCATCGAAATGAACGAAACAAGAGGAACAAAGTTTCGCGTTATGTATTATAGAGGAATAATTGTTAAACACTGAAATGAGGAGAGACAAGGAGATTCGAAGAATCCGTTGGCTCGCTAGGGGTTGGTTTTTAACGAGGCGTTTCTCTGGTTGTTTCGCAGATGCTGTCGGTGAGCCCAGGAATGGAGGTTGGCAGCGGCGGTCACGGTGGCCTCGGAGGTGGACTAGAGGGTGATCCGAGCGGAGGCGGCGTCGGTGGGGGCGGGGGTGTGGGCGAAGGAGCCACCGAAGGGATGCAGGAAGCCATGGTCGCCGCCGCCAGGGACCGGGCGATCCGCGCCGGAAGTGTCCGGCAGGACCTCGCCCTCGACCTCCCACCGCGGCTCCAGCTTCCTGATGGCGAGGAACGTCCCTATGGCGCGCACACCGCCCTTCATCTCCGCGACCCCGAGCAGGTTAGCTCATCCTTACTAAATATATAAATGCTACAGCAGATACGGTCACATCAAACTGAAACTAAAAACGAGAATAATTGAAACGTTAAACTAGCAATTTTCCAAGCCTCAACACGTGATGGCCGTTAAAATTGATGTCCATACTGAAGAAATACCGAGCGAGAAACAAATGAATGTCTCAAGTAGTTATTCGAGCAATTAAATTATCATTTGGTCGTTGCGAAATATTTCATCCCATACTTCAAACTTTAATGTTCTTATTCCGAGGATTGCGCTACAATTTCGCCCATTTTTTGAAATTGCCAATGAATATAATATCGCATTCGGAGATCGGAGGAGGTCGTCGACCCCAGATTTAAAATAGAGCCACAATAGATGGTCGATTTAACCGAAGTTTCGATTATAAGGAAATCTATTATCGGGAAGACCGATTATCTGGAGAAACGAATCGAGCCCACGATCGATATCGCGAGCACGAAATCGCGCACTTGCCGTGTATGTTATGAGTAATACGTCAAACAATAATGTGTACTGTCTTCGGAGACAAGTTTACGCCCACTCCTCGAACGATCGAGCTAAAATTAGTAACCTAAAATCGTCGATAGCAGGCACTTGTGCGACGCGCGTTACGAAATGTGCAACAAAAGGAAAAGAGTAGCTTAAACCATCCCGATCGACTCCACCTTCCGACAATCGAAATCGAAACATTTCATATCCAATGATATTAATTTAATTAGACTTCGAATTACGAAATGATACACAGTACAAACGAACGAGCAAACGACGTTTCTATTATTCCTTTGTTCGAACGAAATTTCGTTCATCTCCGGTTTTCATGTCTGATAAGTGGATCGACATAAAACTGGTTTCTGAGAATAATGGACACGAGCTAAGAATACACGCAGATTTTCGAACGCGATGACCTGCAGCGACGAATGTCTTCTGAATCCACAATGCGCTTCTACGTTAACGTTGTCTGGAGACTGGCAGTATTTAATAATCTCAGCATGGTCGAATGCGATTAAGCTCAATTTTCAGCCGATCAAACCGAATGCTTTGGGTCTAGCGTTTCCCCAATCGCGTTTTCATTTGTTAAACGGTCGTTGATTAGCCACTGTTAATAAACGCGCCATTTTCGAACAGTTGTCCAGGATTTTGAAATTAAATTACACTACACCTAGGCATTATTAGTCGCCTGTTCAATCTAATTCCAACAAATTTCAACTGCTTTTCCTAAATTAATTAAGTTTCATTTCGAAGCGTGTTTTTGATATAGACACTTTCCATCGCCGTTACCCTCCAAAATCAAGCGATTGACCTCTAATATCGCAGAGAGGCCGTCCATTAACCGTGCAGCGCGGTAATTAGCCGCGTCGATCGTCGATGCTTAGAAATTATTCACAAGTCTCGCGGGATCCCGCGTCAAAAGGCACAAAGTTGCTCGTTAACCGACCACGTTCTCCTTGCTTCCTCCAAGTTTTTCGGGATTCCCGCCTATGCGAGGCTCGATTTGCCTACGAATCGTCCCCGTAATTAATGTCGACCCGAACGCGCTAATTGGCTCGGAATATTCCCGAGATGCAATTAGCGGTGCTTCGTGCGCGCCTGTTACACGCTCTCAAAATATTCCCGATGGATGGATCTTTTTCGAGGTCGTTAATCGCGTTTACTTGTACGGGAAGTTGATTTCTCCCGGGAATAATCTACGGCTAATATTTGTTCTACATCTCGAAATGTCACGGAGATGTTGTGCATGATTCAAGCATGCCCCAGTATTTATTCCTCGTTGCAACTCTTTGTTGCACCAGTCACAGCTTTTGGCTCGACCACCAAACCTACTCAAACGATCCAGACGGTACATTTTCTTTCTCGACGCAGACTAGTGAACCATTCCCGCTTTTGAAGACTCGCGTGATCGGTCCCACGGCATTATTCGACGGAAGACGATGAAACGCCGCGGGCGCGCGTCTGGAGACAGTTGATGAGCTGCCGTCCAAAGGAGGATCGGGTTCTAACCCTCTTGAGGCTTCTGGATGCCGGCATCGAGCTAAAACACGCGCGCCCTCGAGACCGCTCGAGGGCCATGGGTTAGAATTTCAGTAATTCTACGCCCCTGCACGTGTGCACCTGCGTCGCAAGAGGCACGCTGGACTCAGCCCTCTAGCAAACAACGATCCTTCCTGGCAGACCATTCCTGACGAACGCCAACATAAAAGTAATTTCTCGTATTCCTTCGTGACACAAACCTCGATGAAACGCATAGTCGTTAACCTCGATTTTATACACGATGTATCTAACCACCCTTCCACGTTAACTTTCACCCATGAAACGGTAGAACAGATACTGAAACATTCCGTTTGTTTTTCAGGAGAGCGAGATCTACCAGAAGTGCGTGCGACCACCGCCTAATCGGACTGTCTTCGACAGCGAGAGCCCTCCGCCTTACAGAAGCCAATCGGCGCTTCTAGACGCCCCTGAACGAATAGTCCGTTGCCACAGCGCGGGCAGCTCTCTCTTGAGGGTGTTTCGGAAATTCCCAAGTCCTGGTAGCTCAACGCCCGCGGTGGTGGTGCCGCCCAGAAGGCCGACCCTGTCCAGTTATTCCGAGTCCAGTAGCAACCTGAGCAACCTGTCAAGCCTTACGGTGGTGCCCTGCGAGGCAGACGAGAGCCAGCAGCACCATCAGCAACAGCAACAGCACCATCAGCAGCACGTCTGATCCGCGGCCTGGCCGAGAAGAAGAGCATTCGAGGCCGCGACGACCTCGAGGACGATGTTCCTCGAAGTCGACGGTCGCCGAAGGATCTCCCGGAAGCGGCGACGAGACCAACCAGAACGGGATGACGGAGACGGGACGAGCGTGGAAGACGTAGCGAGGAAGGACGCTGCCGCCGAAATCGTCGTCGTCGTTCTGCCCTCGAGTATCCTCGACGGCTCGAGGATCCCTCAAGACCGACTCCGCAGGAGAAACTTCGTACGGTTTCGGCCAGCTGACGCTGAGTGGCGAATGGTGAATCTCTCGCTGACGGGAACGAAGACAAAGAGACGCGCGACGATGGACTCTCCTCCGGGCGGTGGATGGTCCTCCAGTATTTTTGGACGAGGAGCGTCCTCGGCGAACAAGACGAGTGGCTCGAGGAAAAGAATCCAAGGCCCTCGGTCCGCGATTCGTTGTGTTCTCAAAAGTGGTCGACGCTCGTCGCCCCAAACAGCAATCCTAACAGGCCAGTCTCTAGCCTAGATCTCAGACGATTCCAAAGCACTAGACGAGACAGCTCGTAACGTAGGGGGCACGTGAACCCGGATGGCGACGGAAGAGACAGAGACGAGCGTCGCTACCGAATCCCCCTCGACAGTGGAGAACCCCCTCAGCGAACACGTATCGAGGACCGACTCGAGAAACCATCATAGGACGCATCTCGTTCGTGTCTCGTGCCTGGTGGCCACAAATACAATTTTTCTCTTGTATAATTCCTGCCAAGAGCAACGGACCAACAATCTTCTCTGTATCGGATGCGATGCGAATGTTGCAAGCGTGTGAAACCCCTGTGGCGAACCTCCATCTTTGAGAACAAACCTATCTGGATCCACTCGTACAGGTAGTTCGTTGAGTCGCGAAATATTAAATTCAATCTTATAAAATTGTTGGAAAACACTGAAACGTAGTATATAGTATACAACATACCGTGTACTAAGAATAGATTTACGAATATAATGCATATAATTTATCGTTTCAGTGCTTTTACACTCTAATTCGAGTCTACGAATTCAAATCTATAGCTCTTACAAACGTACAAATAATTAAGAAAGTTAAAATTACAGAATACGCATAATAGTACACTGTTACTTCGATTCAAATTTGAAAGTAGTACTTCGATCAGCCTATAGGTGGCACGCGCGACCGTTTTCAAAGATGGCTGCCGCCTCGTGACCTCTCAAAGCACGCAGTCCGTACGAAGAAGTGAACGAATAAAAGTGTCTAGTGAACGCAATATCGAGAGAAATTCAACAAATAATACGTGTGTCGTATAAAGCATCCTTGTATCGAGTGATTTCGGTTTTATCGTCCGGAAAAATATCAACTCTAGTTACAGATAACAATTCTAACCTTACTCGTGTTTGAAAAGTTAACCTCAAACCGAAATAATTAGAACCGAGAACATTAAATGCACATTGCTTTATACGTCTCGCCTCTCGAAGAGCAAAATACTCAAACAAAAATGAGCAAAATTCTTATTTAGATAAAAAATGAGAATTTTGCTCGTTCCTGTTTCAGAGTGGGCACTAGGCATCAAAGAGACACGGGGGGGACCAGAGACGAAGCCAAGACGAAAAATTGGACGGTCGATCATCGAGTATCGTGGAAGTTTGTTCTCTGCGAAAAAGACTTAGTAAATTATTTATTGGCGGTTAATTTTGTGGCAGTTAGCCGCGAGAGAAACGGAAGTGAGGGAGAGCCTGGATGGATTAACGGCTGGTCGGACGCGATGAAGTGCCGCCAGACCCAGGAATAAATGGTAATACGTGTCTGTGTGCAAGAGTGTCTCCGTGTGAATGAAAGGTAAGCCCAAACGTGGGGAAATAATGGGACGTGGATGCGATCTGAGAGCTAGAGTTGAGAGAGGGGAATGAGAATTGTCGCGAATGTCTGACAAGCGCAACGGAGAGAGAGCGAGAATATCCGAGGAAAAGTAGTGCCAAGAGCGTAACAAAAAGAAACTCTGTAAATATTAGGTTAGGTAGTTCAATATCAATATAATTATTACGACTAAAAATGATATGCTATATACTGATTAAAAAGTAATACCTTACACCACGCATAAACACAAGTTGACGGGTAGTGCAAAACTGCAGTGGGATGTACTCCGAGACCTAGAGGACCTCTTCTTTGATTTGTCCCTCTGTGGAATAAATTCTAAGATTAATTAGAAGAAGATTAATTAGGTTGTGATCAGCATTCACGTTTTAGTGATTGGTCAAGAGTGAAAGAATGTCCTTCCAGAGAGACAGGCAAAATTTTAAATTAGGGGAAAGATTATTTTTCTTTTCTTGTTAGAGAGCCTTCTTCAGTTTATTATATTTCTAGAATTATGAATTAAACAAATTGCAATATCTTTGGCAGAGGCACTAATTACATTATTCGTCTTATGTAAGATTGATGTTTGAATGAATGCTTTATCGGCTACAGACATAGATTCATTCTATAACTAAAATTCTGTTTTAACTTCACTTTGCATCGTCACACTAAATTGTCGTCCGAATAAGAATTTTACCTGTCTCTGGTTCTGAAGAGTAAGAACAGAGGAAATCAAGTGTCGACACAGCGCGTCCCACAGTGTTTCGTACGGCTCGCACGATGTCTGATATAAACGCTACTTTATTATTATTCAGATAGATAAGGCTTCAGTTTTTGACGAAATAGGACGAGATCTGCCTTGACGACGAACCGAAAGTCGACGACTGGCTCTGTTGCCTTTCGTATCTTCTTTCTGCTGTTAAATGCAAACGTTCCGAATTAATGTAGACCCTGTCGGGTTGCTGACCGAGATTTGTTCAGATCTCTAATTGTTAAACTTTAATGCCTAAGCATAATTTTGTATAAAAAAGGAAACTTCATTATTTATTCGTTTCGAATCGTAAACCCGTATGCATAATTAAACACGCATCATATTACATCATCCGGAAATTGATAAATGATCAGAGTCCAATATCAGTTTGGATCTTTGTTTATTCTGACCGAACTATTTCGTCCCCGAGGACGTTGAATCATAAACGAATCTCTCATCAGTAACTCGAGAGTAGCATCAGTAGCACAGGTCAGTGACCCTTACACCGTGAATAATGTTGTATTTTAGTTTCTTCGAATCGCACAGATTGTTCTATCGTTATGTAAACGTTCAGAGTATCGCGACGAACAAGATTTTCGTCGACTTCGGTTCTCGACCTCGGGACAGAACGAAACTACTGAAGTATCTCATGAGAAGTCACCAATTATTGTAATCCTTAAAACTGTAAGACGAAGGGGTAAAATTGCAAACGAATCAGGTCTGCCTTCAGGTCGCGGTCCGAGCGTGTAAAAATCGAGAACATTGTTAAGCGCCATTCAGAATCTTTCAGAAAAATAAAATAACGAAAAAAAATCGGTCGTTTTCCGCATCGATGGCGTCTGGCAATATTTTCTCCCGTTTCTGAAGGATTCTGTTCGGGCACAAACGCGTCCTGGAGGCGTCCACCGCTGTAAATCCACGATTTGGCGTCGAATATGCGCGATTTAATGGAAGAAAGAAAAAGCAAAAAAAAAAAAGAACGTAACGAAACGAACAAAAATGCCGATGAAAAATCGTACAGGATCTATATATATACACATATACGCATATACACACACGTACATATATATGTATATATATCGCTAAATGAAATCAACATTGTCATTTTGAGAAAAATGTCCGGGCAGTTCTACACACGACACTCGACCGCCTCTCATCTGCGACGGGATAGTTTCTTATTTCCGTCTCCACCGAAGAAAGAGAACAAACAAGAAAACATAAATGAAAGAAAAATGAAAAATATGTGTTCACGCGCATGCAATATTAGGCGATGAGGAATTAATCTCGTATTCTCTAGCGCGAAGATATGAGAAAACTATGTGGGGATTATGGGGTTACGGGTGGGGGGGATTTTAGAAAGGAAACGTTAGGGGAATGGAAACGAAACGAAACTAGAGGAACGAACAATAGCGGACTAACGAGATATATATGCGCGCGTACTGGACAGAGATGGGCAAAATTCCTGTCTAGATAACGAAAATTTCGAGTAACGATTAAAAGATACGACGAAGACGCGAAACGTTTGATGGTTTTACGGCCCAGTTCTCTTCGTGGTCGATACCAAACGTGTTTATCCATTAATTGTTTAACGAGAATTAGAATTTGTATTATAAGCTAGAACGAATTCGTCGATGAACAATTGTAAAATTGAAGCGTTCGAACGAAGCAAACGTTCCGAATAAATTTATTGTAGGTTTGCATTCGCGCGAACCGTTGTTCGCGAGTAAAATTTTGCCCAACTCTGGGAATCGTGACGGATAAAAAGGGAGAGTGAGAGACTGCGTGCGATTGGGATTCGAGAGGATGATAAATAAGAGAGGAAAGTTAACGATTACGGGATAGGAGCGGCTAAATCCAATGGGTCTTGTGCAAGCCTCGGTTAAATTAAAGCTGTTATCGACTTAGATTAAATTTTAAACGCCAAAACGGAGAGCTCCGGGAAACCGCGCGCGAACGTTTCCCACCTCCTGCGAGAAATTGAAAATTTTCCATGGCGGATGAGCTCGATATTATATAAATATATTGTATATTATATATGAATATTATCAATTGGAATATCGTGATATTCAACGTGAACGATTCGTTGACTCTCGAGAGCTTTTCGACGATCCGGTACGAGCGTGGAGATATTCGATCGTTTGTGTGGCCTTTGGATGACGAATCACGGGCAATCGGGCTGGGGAACCGATCGGCCATCTCGCCGAGTCCGAGTGGACGTGTTCATGACCAATTATGCGATTTCGAAAGCGTTACACCGACTCGAAACGAACGACTTGGCTCGTGTTGGATCGGTATACCCAATTGCTGACGCTTGAAACGGTGTCCTTTCTTTTCTGGACGGAGTAGCTATACGATCCTCAAGGATCAGCTTTAGGATGATATTCGATTTTCGTGTGGCCTCGATATGTAGATAGACCTAGGCTCTGTCAGAGAGAGGTGGGCCATTCGAATCGGAAAAAGATTGATTAAGAAATTGTGCATGCTCTTAGAATCAATTCGTCGTTTGATGGTAGCAACACTTGTTGTAGTCTTAACGTTTGAGGCGGTATTTGCTAGGCATGCCTTATCGACGAGTCCACTATCAAGACCCAGGACGAAACGCAGTAACCTTTATATCGAGTGTTACTTGTTACGCGAAAATGAATTTTAATATAGTGGGTCTTTCTGAAAGAACTCGCGAACCTCTGAAAGGTGAATGGCCCGGGTTCCTCTTCATCTCAGAGAATGGATAGACGTTGTTTTAGACCGCTAGGTGGAGAGAAGAAGAGTCTGTTAACGTGTTCACGATCTACTGATCCATGTGTCGATTGGGACGCTTATAGTTTTGTATTTAATTCAATTGACGACTTGGTTCATCGTAACGAAATGGTCTGAGAATCTCAAGGAATGTCAACTGAAGAGAAACTCCAGACTCTATAAAGGCCTCAAATATCGGAATGAGCAGTATGTGTACAGAATAGTTCAATTACTAGGGCATTATTGAATAGTTAGACAAACACGTCCGGATATTATCCTACCGAAAACACTTGTTGCAACTAGTTTCTGTTATGAAAATCTTCCCTTTTTGAACGTCCAAGTCTCTTATTCGCACTCGCAGAGCATGAACACGTTAAGATTCCGGAGAATAGTTCAATTGTTAGTTCAGCCTCCAGAGAAGATCCTCCTAGAACAATGTTGACACATCGTCGAGCGTCAGATCGTACCGAAAGCCCGTTTGTCTTATCCCTCAACGTTCGTACGTTTTCTCGGAAACGTAGTGCTCAGATTGATCGAACTGACCCCTCGACAAGCGATCGAGCCGATCGATCAACCTGGCCGCTTCCAGTTCGTCTAGTCATGCCGAGCCGTGCGTCCCGTCGGAGGATGAAATCAATCGGTCGTTTCATTAATCATCGGGATCCCGAGGATAGATAACGGATCCTCCATAAGCGTGATTGTGATTTCACGGGGTGTTTCAAAATTGCGCGTTGGCCGCTTGAAAGCCAACCAATGAAATTCGACTAAACTTCGAAGAGCCTCCCCTCGAAGCTGTAATTAGTATCATCATCGTAAACGTCGATAAGATTGGTGTGTCTAGTCCACCACGACGAGGGGGTCCGACCCGTTTTTGCCCTCGAGTTGCCCATCGTTCGCGGAACCGTGGAGTATGTCCCATCGTTCACCTCTTTAGCCAATCACAGAGCAACGCGAGGCGACCCCTTCAGGCGTCCATGGACCCCCGTTCGTCCTGGAGTGTAAATTACGTTTTATTATCATTATTTTTTCTTTTTTTTTTTCTTTTTTATCTTACGTTGTTAGGTAACCGAAAATATGTAGGTCGAGGTGATAGACGAAAAACGAATCAATGCACAGACCCGCAGACTGATACGGATGAAAATCTGAGAATCAAAATTTTTACGACCGTCTCGTGTGATCACTCGAGGGACGCAGTGTCTTATGAACGTCTTTTGGTACGTTCACGGCGTTAGGGATTGTAAAACTGAGACATTGATGGGCGCGAGATTATTATCAAGCGCTGAGAAAGGAATGGCGAAAAGGGGGGCACCAAAAGACAGTGACGAGGGTTGCGTGTGTGCGCGAGGGAGAGGGAATGAATGCACCTGTAAGATTGAAAGGAAAAAAAAGACGATTAAAGGGAAGAAGAACCACTAGCCATGTGTAATTCGAGTCGGAATTAATCATCGTTTCGTTGTTGTCGTGATTGTACTGAGAGCAAAAGAGTGGAGAGAGAATATGAGAGAGAGAGAGAGAGTATGAGAGAGAATGAGTACAAAGTGAAACTATACGAGAAATTGGAGAAACTTTTTTCAAGGTAATCGATCGATGTTGTAGGAACAGTGTCATTTAAAGTAGTAGGTCGCTTCTACCAAAAGAAAAAGTCATCTCGGGACGAGGTTAAAAAAATGGTTTTCACATCTAAATTCGAAAGTTGTTCGCGCCAGCCGCGCGGGGGCGCTCGAAGTGAGCGCGAGATTTGAAAAAGCGCGGGAAAAGAGGACCGCGTCTCGGAGTCGCCTCCCACGCGCGCTCCTCGATGTTTATCTTGTTGTCTTCTTCTTTTTCGTCGATTCTTTTTTTTCTCTTTGCGCCGTCGAAAGGTCTCGAGCTCTTCGAGCGTGCCACGAACGCGCGGGAAAGTAAACGGTTTTTTATACAGTAGAATTGTACCAATTGTACCACATAGGAAATGAAAAAAAAAAAAACATAATGATGTTCGTTGTTCACTGCTCTGGCTTGCTAGGAAACAGCAAATAAAAAATAATAACGATAACTCGGGCCTCTCGGAGGCTGTTCGGACCAGGAGAGGCGCGAAAAAAATAAACAAAAAGACTGTTGACCAATAAACGAGCGTAATTCGTTCGAGAGAACTTGCTCCGGACAGTCCCCTTCGTGCCCTCCGGTATGAATCGGCAACATTTCGACATTGCAAGATTATTGGTGTACTTATCACGCAGTTTTCTACAAAATAAAGAAAACGATTTTGAAAAAAAAAAAAATGAAAAGACAGTGAGAACTGATGCACGTTATCGTTCTTTCACCACTATCCACATGCTTCCTTAAATGTTTATTTACTCACTTATTTATTTTTCAGGTTTATCACGCAAGTTGTTCATAAATTAAAGAAACGCTACCAACTTCAAGACAATTTTACGATACCGAAACGATTCTCTGTTTTACCGATCAGTTGTTGATCACAGCAATAAGTTACGCAGAAAATGTACAAGATGCCGCTGCTCGTGCAAACAACTCCGTCGATATTTGTGGATTTTCTTTTGCTTGAATTTAGGTATACATTATTACGCCACATCCAATATATCAAAATGCTTCAACTCACATATAAAAGCATCTATTTACACGCATTTGACAACATCTCAGGAAGGGTATAGTAGAAGTTTGCATGTACTAAAATTACCTCTGAATTTATTACATATCTCATTCTTAGAATTTATCATTGGTCCCGTCATATGATTTTCCTCACAAGCCAAATATAATTTGGTTTACAGATGGTCGAAAGACATCTCATCGAGGATCTCTGGAACTGTAAGTGATAAATTCCAACAACCGTTGCTGGCACATCCCCCATGAATAGCTAACTTCGAAGAAGTATCGCTGTTACGTTTGCAATTTTTTTCGAATATCGTTTCCCGGGACCAACCTGAACTCGCGAAGCGGGATAACGCGAAGCTATTTATACGCAACTAAATATAAGTAATCTAAACCGATTACGTAGCTAAATTTAACGTCACGTTCATTCAGCACTTACTGATACTGTGGCGCTAAATCGAGCAGGACAAGCGTGCAGTACTGACGGATGAAAAAAAAAAATCTAGTATCCGAGGCTAAACATGATTTTATTCGCATAAAGGAGATCCTACTGTACTTCGAACGTCATCTGACTTTCGATTCCATCAAGACTACCGTTTCCGGTGCTACGCCTAATTTGGTCGGATAAACACGAGCGCAAAAATACTGTGAAACATAATACCTCGTTGAATGTAATGCCCCATCGTCGTGACCATTGAATTTCCAGCGGAAAGAAGGTCAAAAGCGCGTAAATACACGTAACGAAACCGCGGGAAACCATGCGGCGGTGGGGCGCAAGGGGTTGGTGGGGAGGGCAATGTCCTAAGCGTTTCGGGTGCAGTTGGTTCGCGCTTAATGAACAGGCGGCGGCTTAACGAAAGTGACGCAAAGGGAGGAAGTGAAAGCAACGGAGCTCGAGGTGCGGGTGGCGTCGTTTAAATTTGGAGCGACGCGCGCTCGGAAATAGACGTCTTTCCCTACCTTACCTTGTGAACGCGATCTGCTCTTCCCTCACCCGGTTCCGTGGGCTCTTTTCCCATCACACGTACGCCACGCGCGAAAAGCGACCTCTTTAACCCGAAGTTCGCGCACCGCGACGGAAACTATTCGCCTCTCAACCGGAAGTGCACCACGCAAAGCGCATTCGGCGAATAGGCGAAGCATCAGGGAAGCTGTGCAGTGCGAGCATGAACAAATAAGCGAATGGTATTATATTTTATACAATGTTTATTATGATTTAGGAAGGGTACCATTTTTTCGTCTCGGTGTCGCACTTGATAGTGGTATAGTTCTTTCTCTTTAAAAAAAAAGACTAATAATAACAACATACGGAAGCATTACTTCTCATATGGATAACAAATATTTCGTTGATCATACGTTTGCCAAGACGCGAGTGTCTCGAAATCTATGCAAAATGTCCCGCGGTCAGTTGCAACAGTTGCTTGGCAGTCGTCGACGTGCGACAATCGTGCCGGCGCTGTCTGTCAACGGGATGGGATACCGCCACTTGGAACCGTCTCGTTGATAAACATCGTTGCGTGACAATGAAACAATAATCTAAACGGACCCGACGAAACCGATATATGTATGTACTCGTCCGACGAAGTTAAAAACGATGCTCGTTCGACGAGAATTTCGACAGGGATCCGTGCCAATTACGCTCCTTGTTGCTCGTGGAAAATTTCATAATTCATCGAGCGAGCCGTCCTCCTCTGAGAAATTTCCGCGTTTCCTGTCATTTAAATGCACCTAGGGTTGCATACCCTAAATCACGAGTTTATGTTTTCTTTTTCTTTGACGTTCACGCGGTATTATAATTAGAAATAACTAAAACCAAGATAGGACTAGGGCAGTTAAAGAGTTAAGCATTTTCAAAATTTCAAGCTCGGTTTAAAAGAAGATCTTAAGTCACGACTGTTTAATCCTATGTAGACACGGCGCGGACTCGTTAACGCGACTGATTTATTTGCAGACGTCGATCCGATCTCCTCTAGCCTCTTCAGGCCCGAAGTAGGGGCGGAAGTAGAGAAACACGATAGATAGAGCACGTTTCTAGCTAGATATATTCGAACAGGAGTATCTCCTCGCGCGTCGATCGAGGGATCAAAGCGTCGCGACACCCACTCGTCGCCTAAATAGTTGAACCGTCTATTTGGAAAGATGGCCAGTCAGACTCGGAATCAAAGGGACAACTATTTATTTCCTCCCACCGTTAATTTTACTGACTCGCGTCAATTTTAGGTGAGAGGAGTTTCGATCTTTCTGTATCGCATCAATTTCATCCAGGACCACAATTTCGAGCGAAGGGGTTCCCACCGCGAAGACTGTAAGTACTAATTCCCTTTCGACTGACAATTGCAAATGGCGCGCAATTACCGAAGATAGGGACTCCTGAATGGAGACATCGCGGTGAGCGTCGTAGGCACACGAGGAAGAAAGTTAAGTTCCAAGTAGATGGAATGGAGGAGTCGAACGCCCCTAGAAGCTTCTGCCGGTCAAAAATAGACGTGGAATGACACGGGGAAGCGGATACCGTAATATTTTAGTGTCACCGAAATAAAACTGGAAGCCATCTGGCCAATTATACGAATGCATAAATCCCTACCGAATGCCGGACGGGAAAACAAACTGGTCGCGTTTCGTCCTACTTTACAGCTTCCGATTGATCGAATCCTTCCGGGCAGACACGGGAGACACGACTTGCATGGTCCATCTCGTAGACGCAGCGTTCGATCAGGTATCCGTGTAAAGGGATCCATGTGCATCGTTACTCAACCCCATCTCAATCCTATCTAACCTCCATTTTCTCGCTTCTATTACAGAGCGAGTACAAGCTACAAATCTTAGTATTCCTGAACCAAACCACCATGGTCCTGCGTCGAAACAGTAAACGTTAAAATTGTATCCAGTTGCGTCCCAGTATCGAAATCAAGATCAGTCTACCAAAGGATCCAAAGGGAAGTCCTCTCTTTCTACTTAATTTTAGCGTATCCACGACTTCGTTATTTAATTCACCCGATATTATTTAGCGATAACGATCCAGCGATAATGGAACGATCACGAAGATCTGAGAGACGAGGCAATTCCAGCTAATTGAAACGCATAGATCTCTTTTCTTCCTGCAACGAACATCGACGGCGGCCGTTGCCTATTAATATCAGCGGCGGCCCCCCCGCCCGGCGCCCTATATTTCAATTAATCCAAATAAATCGGCACGCGACGCCGTCGCGCGTGCGTCGCGAACATGGAAGGAAGAAAAAAGAGCGTGGTCGGGACGCCTGCGCCTAGGGGCGTCGCGGCGACCGCCGACGCCTTCTTGAATGAAAACGTCGCAGTCAGTTCGGATCAAGGCGTCCATCCTCGCTTCGACTTTCACGGATTTTGTATATCCCACGTCGAGGAGAACCGCCAGTGACATACCAAGACGATAAATCGAGCCTTCGTGCTGCGAACAGGTACCATTTTTACCATTTCCAAAACCGAGCTTACCCAGATTCGAATTTTCATTTAAAACCGAAGAGTCGCAGAGAGGATTCAAGTAAATTGAAATATAGTTTTCTCATGGATTAGATTTCGCGATTCTGGATCATTTCTATTAGGTTCGAAGCAGAGACACAGCGAAATGTAGAATTTGTTTGCTTAGAATATTTCTGCCCCGATTATCACGATAGCTTCGGGATTTATAGTCGTCTCGAGTATTTTGTGTAGCCCTAGAAGGTATAACGTTTTCGACGCTAGAGGTTTTCAGGTTTTTTTTTTCGAAATGAATACAGCGCAGAATTAATTGAAAGAACAAACCCGCTTGAGAAGCAACAGTTTGCGCGGTTGAATTTTCGAACCCCGTTCCACCGACCCGCCTGCCGTTTAGGGGATGCTTCGCTCGATGCGCTTCAGTTAGCAAACTAATAAAACGTAACATATTTAGTACTAATAATTTTAAACTCGAATAGTCGAGCTTCGTGCCTCTTATTTTTCAATTCAACATTTTTTTTTAAGTAACCCATTGTCGCGGGTGAAAAACAACGACGGTGTTAACTAATTGTCGCGAATAGCGACTGGCAATAAAATAGCGAAGCGAATGGGGGGACGCGCAGCGACAAAAAGTGAAGTCATTTGCACGTGCAATTTATATCCCTCGGAGGGTACGGCTATCGTGTGATACAGGGGTTCTTGCATGTTTACGACGCGTGTATACGTCACGAATATCCGCGAATATACCACGACCCAACTGAATTATGTCAATGTTCCACCATCCGCATGTCGCGAGGTCGATGGTAGAGAAAATTGGCTAACGAAGTGCATCGAAACGAATCTCATTGATTCTATATTTTTTAGATAGATATATAAATCATTGGTTGGTACGGGGTATCAAAATTAATCCTGGAAACGTCATCATTAGATCATGAATGTTTATGACGGGTCGAGATATCGTCAACAGTGATGATCTTCTACTTTTTATTCCATATAGTTATTCGTTTCTTTAACAATTTGCACACATTCGAGTATTAGGGAAGTATCTTTGGAAAGACGTTCGAAATCTTCCAGCTAGCACCGTTTGGATATTTTCTTTCCCGGATGATCGCGCGGCTGGTTGAACGTGTTTGCGATTTCCGCGGCGGCAAATCAAACAAACCGAGCGTCGCGGCGAGGAAACGAGACCGAACAAACAATTCAGCCTTCGAGGAAAGCCAGAGGATCCTTTGACGTTCGCCGACCCCTTTGCGATCGACCTCTGGCTCGCTCGAAAGTAATAATACACCAATTTTAACATTATTCTTTATTGAAAAAACAATTCATTCTTTACGTGTTACCTAGATTCTATCTTAAAAACTAGTTCCTCGATCTACCATGTGTCGGACCATTTTTAACACTCTAATATACAACTAAAAATATATTTTCTTACTCTTCAAGTAACTCTACATGCAAACATTATATAAAACGTAAAGGTCCAGAACTCGCATTCGTTTCTATAGAATTAATTCGCGTGTACGAAGGCAGTTGGTAGAAATCGCGGAGCCAAGCGAACAATCGCACGATTAGGTTAGAATCGAGCCAGCGGGGCTTGATGGACAGTGTCGCGGCTAGAAACGTGCAAATTAGCGGACACGGTTCACCGCTAATTGCTTGAACACTCGGTTGCCACCAGGAGAATTTTCAAGCTAAAATACGAGCCACTCTCTAGCGTAAATTCCGACGTCGCTCATATATTCAACGATTACCGCGCGGCGCGCATTCGAATTCGACTTTGGCCAACTTTCGACAACCTTCGAAACTTCTTCTCCCACGGATGGTAAGCATTAGAATTCTCCTCCGGGATAAGATCATATTCACGAATTAATTTCCGGAAAACCAACGCGAGTCCTGACTTTTTCTTTTGCTGAATGTTTGCACGTACCTTGGAGAGCAAGAAAATTATTTTGGACTTTTGTATACGCGTGTATTAAAAATGGCCCAGTACTCGGAAGGTAGAGGACCACTTTTAGGAAGTAACTGCTCCTTTAGACCAACGTTTTCTTTTATCTCGCGACAATAACGTCGTCCACCTGCCAACCGGAAGTGGCCAGCGGCCCGGGAGGATCCACTTGGCAGGAGATTTCTCGGAGAAGCTAATTAACCGGGCGAAAAGACGGCGTCGCGAGGTCCGAACGCAGGAAGTCGCCGCGCATCCACTCTCGAGCGTATTAAAGGTTCATACGAAAAGCCGCGCGGATATGAGTGAACGTTATATAAGGCGGTCTTAATATAGCGGGAACACACTCTGGAACTTAGCCATGTAGTCTCGAGCATGGACGGTGTTTGTGGCTGTCGCGGATCAGGTTCGAGAAGGACGACGCGGACGGCGGACCTTTAGGGGATGGTACGGAAAACGTCAACGGTATGGTGAACGCTGGATAGATGCCTGTAATTTACCATCGCATTAGGCCTCGTGTACGCGCGAAACGAAAGTTATGCGAAGCGTTCGCGAGTGCATGCGGGCGATGAGCGAAAGTTTAGCGAGAGGACTAAGCGGTCGAATCGCTCCGAAACGAGATCCTCTTTGGGAATTAATTTCGAGGAAGCGAGCGCGAGTCCTGACTTTTTCGTTTACACCGTGTTTTGTATGCATCTCGGAAAGGGAGGAAATATTTTCTTAGTTGTGTATATGCGAGCATTGAACATGGTTTGGCGACGGGGGTTGTTGGGATGCCATTTCTTGGAGTTGGTTATTCTAGAGAATTGCTATTTCTTCTTTAACTTGTTGTTACAATTTTCTTTTCGACAAGTTCGGTTCGAAATTACGGTAAAATATTTTCAGTATAAAACATTCGTGTACGTGTATCGGGAATAATTGCCTCGTAAAATGTTATTTTTTCTAATCGATTACATGGAGAAAACAACGTTACGAACCTACCAAACTGGCCACCTATAAAATCGCTCTCGCACCACGCGAACGTCGATCGTAAACCGAGAAACTAGTCCTCGGAATATAAAATTACAACGTAGACATCGTTCCTGCCTCTCGCGGGCTTCTAATTGCGAGCAGTGGCGCCAGATAGATGTTCCCCCCAACGAACATAATTCACCTGTCAGGGAAACATGTAGCTACTTAATTGCGTTTAGTAACCTGGCGCGCGTGGTAATTATATACAAATTATTTTCCGTAATTAAATAGCTGTACGTCGGCGGGGCTCGCATTTATAATCGAAACGAAGATTAAACGGGCCACCGGACTTGGTCGCTGAAATTATAGTCGACTTCGAACCGAGAAGCGGCTAAATTTAAATTCCAAACATCCGCGATTCCTGTTGCGAAAAAAAAAAGAAGAAGAAAGATCGCGTGATTTTTTCCCTCTGGTTTCGCGAGCATACTTTCCGCGTCGAGCTCTTTATGGTTCTGTATATTTTTCCTGCTCGACTTCGGGATCTCTGATTCGATCTCTTTATTTAGAACTCATTCCAGGCTCTTCGTGCTTCGAGGAAATCATTTTTGGGAATACTTGCGTTGGCAGTCTCTTTCGTTTTCAAGTAAATGTCGATGCTTTGAAGGGGCACAGGCCTGTATGAATTAATTTGGTAGTTGGCTTTTGACATATTGAGTTGTCCAGAAAGTTCGTGGTAATTTTTAAGAAACATTCAAAGACACGTTTGAATTTCGATACATGTATTTATTGAATTATATATGTACCATTTTGTTCCACAATTTGTCCACCTTCTAAAGGATGTCCACGTGTTATTTGTTTTCAACCATTCCGATATATTCAAACCTGTACCGCCTACTAAAAATCGGCATGGACTTTCCAGACAACCCAATATCTAGTTACGGTATGCAGAAGTCATCCTAGGTTAATATACGGTAATGTATGAAGTCCTCTTTTAAGCTGTAGACTCTTTCTAAACAGTAGAGCATAACTGCCTTCTCTCGAGTCAATCTCTCCCTTCGATACTTAAAATTGGTACCAGGAAATTTTCATTTCATACTCAATTTTAAAATTGGTTTGCGTCGCTTTTTCTTCGAGCGCGTAAAATCGTACGTGCAAAGCCGGTGGCAATTAAGTAGCCGTCGGTATTTAAATTCGCTTCGAAGTGGGGTCACTTAAAACAATCGGTGGCGTCTCGACGCCCGTGGGTAAATGGAATACCTGTTGCTTTTAACTACCTCCCGCATCGAGCGTCACGATTCACCCGCCACCGAGCTTACAGGCCTTCGCGTCGCGCACGGAATCTTGGCACATTCGTTAAGTCGAAAATACACGGGAAAGACGCGCCCAGCTCATGCTTGTTTGTTTATTAAGCCTCAGGGAAATTTCGGTGACGCCTCGCGACTTGGTCTGCGCGGAGTCGCGCGAAACCCTCCCCCGAAATCAATTGCTACCACTGGCAACCACCAGTCGCGTGACCGTTATTAATTAGAGCATTATTAATTAGAGCATTATTAATTAAGTACATTTGAACGAAGTGTCTTTGCAACCAATGGAAGATCTTCGACTGAACCTCCCCAGGGTATAATATGTAATAACAGCTCGTGTTGCGACTGTCTATTTTTATTATTGACATTAGTATCCTGTTTGTGAGAGGACTAACGATAGTATTAATCTTCTTATTCTTATGATAGAAGCTCGAGCTTGATTCAGGCAAAGCTCGAGACCTCGGTTGAAAATGATCCATGCTGACTACTCAGGCTACTCAAAGTACTGATACTGGTACTGATACTCTGTAGAAGTTCAAAGCGTGGCGAATCGGGTCTGGAAAAATCTGTAGTGGCGTTAGAAATAGACTCTAGATTTCTGCGAGTGTTTCGACTAGCGCTAATTTTACAATTTCGTGAACGCAGTGGAAAGTGGACGTGGTATTTTTAAACACGGCGAACCTGAGCATTTCCAAAATCAGCTTTATTAAAATACGGAATAAGGAAGGACCTATGAGAGACAATAAAATTAAAAAATTAAATAATCATTATTTGTTTAAATTTACCATCGGCTTACTCTCAACGTTCGAGTTCAAAGTTCGAGAAATATCTAAAATTGCTCGACTCTTCCGAACGGTGGGCAGAGAGTCCTGTCCAGGGCAATAAAACGATGCAGGTTCGCAAACTCGATTTCACGCGGGATCACGCGAAATTCCCGAGTTAGGGTTAACCACGTTTACCGCACGTGAACAGAGTTAGGGTTAATCTGCACGCACGCCGACGCGTCCTCGAGGGCTCGACCCCGGCGGGACGTACACGCGTGGGTGGGGGATGTGAATTTATGATTACGAAACCACGGACAACTTCCTGGCTGCGTTTCTGCCTCGCGAATCAACTCTGTTGTCAACGAAATAAGCTACAACGGGCCACAGTCTTGGAAGATTGATCCTGTCTGCTCTCCGCTCGAAAAGTCAAGCTGCGTTACATAATTTTTCATTATTTTCCGAGTGTCAGTCGTGACTAGTGCAAAGTACAAGAATGAAAGATTTATTAGAATGTAAATTAGTTTGCAATGAAAGGTCGACAGCAACGTGGAAGAAACGAATGGACACTATTGACGCCGTCTACACCGAAGTGTCGCGGTAGGGTAAAATTGTCCGCCCCACTAGTGGACGCGTGTCAACGAACGCGCGCTAACGAGGATGCGATCTATGACTTTCTATGCCTGGTGAAACGTCGTCGAAGGAAACCGCGATACGATCCAATTATCGAAATGATGCATGAATGTACACCCTGGGTGGTCTAATTTGTGCTCACAAAAGCGTCTGCCTGTGTGTACCTTCGCGGAAACACGTAAACTTGACTCAGGTGAAACTGTCTTCGGCTAGGAACTTGGAAGTTCACCAACTCCTCGCTTCATAGAAATTTCGGTACGATTGTTTCGGTTGCGTTTGGAGGGAAGAAGCCAAAGGGGACAATTTTATTTCAAAACATCATAGAAGTACGGTTAAAAAAATCTTGCAATAATTTTGGCATGTTCGTCGTCTGCACTTTTGTATCGAATTACACGGATGAGTTCCGAGGCTGGGGTTGCGCGGTCCATGGTATTAAGGGCACTTTGCTCTATCGACTAACCATTCTCAAATATCTCTGTTGCAGGTCGTCCCCCTCGCATCGTTTCATCTTCGTTGGATCGCGAATATATCATAGCGGGCGCGTGTTGCAGCGACGACGCTTCCGAGACCGCGGCGCAGGTTGTCCAGACGCCAGAGGAAGGAAAACGAAGGCACGAAGAAGTTTCAGAACGGGTGATGTTCCTTTTGGTCCCGTGAATCGTCGACTGGCAGGAGTGTTGGCCGAGGGTGTGTCTTTTTCCGCTTTGCTGCCGCTGAGATGGAGTCCGCCAGCAAAGGGGAACAGGCCGACCCTCCCGCACCAACTAAATAATATTCGATGACAGTGATATATAGGGAACAACGTCGCTGTGCCCAGGCAACTTTCTCCTCGATAAATCTCGTTAACCTGGTAAGTCAGTTTTAAAGGTGGAGCGACTTCGCCGATTGTTTGTTCCGCTGCTGGTTGCGTGGACCCGTTTGTCTCGGTTCGGAACTCGTCGCTGATAGGAATTCCGGAAGAACGATGATTTAGGGTCGAGGACCCTAGGTGTAAAGAAAGAATGGAGAAATGGACACGTGGGTAAATGGTGAGGCGTGGAATTTATTTTGTTCGGCATTCCATATAGCCATATAGCCATATATATAATTTCTATAAAACGGCAAACCAGGGACGTGGTTTTTGTTTTTAAATTCGGTAACACCGCGTTCCAAGCACGAACGATATATTTTTCATCCGCGAAATTCCAACACGCAGCTCACTTTTTATCTTTCACCGATTCCGCCGTCTTCCTCCTCGTAACCTACATCTAATTTCGGCATCCACGTCCGACTTGTTTATCATTCTATTAATATCACCGTGTTTTCTACGTACATTGATTGGTCCTTCGTCACGCAGGCTAAACCGATGAGGAATAATAGCATTTGAAAATTTGAATCGTGAACATTTTCGTGTGATTCCAATTAACATAGTATTATCGTCAAATTAATTCTTCGTACTCTGCTAAATTCCTAAGATTGAAATAGTACTCTCGCAAAAAGAAATATTTCTTCTTTTAACGAGATTAGCCATTACACCAGCAGGGCAAATAATTTAATTTTTCTGGATCAAAGACATAATCAACGAGTGATTCGAAGATTGCTCCCTCCTATCAGCAGCTTTTAGGCTCGCGAAATTTATGGACACGCGTGATCCAAACGACGACGTCCGTATCCGTGATGGGCGTCACTCTGGCGTCTAAACGAGAACGATAAAGAGGGCTCTTATTGGTTCAGCTAAGAGATTAGCGCAAACTGTCCGCCTCTTTGACGTGTATTTTCGTCCAGACGTTAAGAGACGAGAGGATATTCGTCGACACGTGTTTAACCCTTTGCTGTTTAGGGGCGCGTGTGAAAATCATTGGAAAGAACAAATAGATTGGGAACAAGTGTTTGTCGATTCCCTGAAATGATCGATTCCACGAGTTATATTTATGCGTTTGATCGGCGTGACAGTTTATACCTGACAACGCCCCGACGGAAGTTTAATGCGCGTTCATTTGGAAGTCGAGAGGGGGAGGTTACTACTCTGATTAACAATCTGTAAACAGAGTCTTTAATATCTCAGCCCCGGTAGGAATGTGTTCGGTCGCGACGGGTTGACAGGCAACGGTGTTTCATGAACAGCGGTATAACGATATTAGCAAGGCCTGGCATCGCTGAAACGAGGTCCGTTTGGTGTTCGGATTACACGCGATCCGCTGTTGCGCTTGGCAACGACCGCGAGTTTTCTCAGCTGCCGTGGCTAAGACAAAGGCAATCGGGCTCCTGGTCGATACGTACGAATCGACTCCTAGTGCCTCTATTGTGGGACGATGATGTCACACGCGGGAGGTCTCGTGGAACTGGGGTAAGGTTCCCTAATTTGGACCGCTTTGGACATTTTCTTCAACGTCCCCTAACGAACAAGTTTTCCGAACGAGGACGGTTTTACCAATTAGTGTTATTAGATTATTTGTGGAACATTAGGTTTCGTGTTTAAATTAATTGTTGGGAAAAAAATTGTGCTGTTAGATTGTTCAAGATAATTTCGAACGAAACCTCGCTTTCCGAACTAGAATAGAAGCCCGAGGCTTGGGATAGATGCGTCTTGCCTTGGTTTCAGATCAAATTTGCCCATGTCTGACACGAGGAGCAACTGTTTGCTATTTAAAGTAGCGCGTTTATTTTAAGAAAACGGCATGGAAGAGAAACAGAGGTCCTTTTGACACGTCCCTTTGTCGCGCGTGAAACGACAACGTTTCGCGTAACCGGTAAATAATGAAGTTCTCCCAGCTGTCTCGGTTGCATCGTGACCAATTGGGACGATGCTTCCGCGCACTGGGGCACAATGATTTCTGACGACGAGTTGGGCGTGACGAGAGAGGTTTAACCGCTCGGTGGAACTGTCGACGTTTGATTGGCAAGGCAAACACTCGAACAACGTCCGCGGAAACGTTGAAATCCTTCGCTTCCGTGGCGAAGAGTGGAAAGCCACGTTTCTAGCGGAATTTCCATGATCAGGTAATCAGCGATCGTTCCTTCTCTGTCTTCAATTCTCGTTTTTCCTATGAAATCAATGATTCGCACTCGAACGAATTCCTCAACGAAACACGAGTACGTGAATGTACCAAATTTGAAATCGATGTATCCAGTAGTTAAAAAAGTCTCAAACATCACTCAACCTTTGGGATCTCTAGACAGAAAGTTTCCACGTGTTTCGAATCAGGATCCACTAGTCCATATTCTTCACGGTAGTCCTCCAGGCCGCGAGTCGATAAATCAATACGGAAACCTGTTATTCGCGATAGTCACGGCGACTCGTATTTTCGAGTCTGGCCGGCAGTTATGCGAACACTGTCGATTTAGACGGTGGCTTGTCGTTCTGGTGGATATCTCGAGGACAGATTCTGCTCGTTATCCGACCGGAAAGGGGACAGTCAGACACCCTAGGCTTGACAGAGACCGATGTTGGTGTAAAGCGTTTTGCTTCGGCCCGCGTTGCCCGTCACTCACTTTCACTTGCCTCCTCGTGTTTCCTTTCGCGAATATTCGTAAATTATGAGCTGCTTCTGCGCCTCGAGAACTTCGCCACCCTCCCCCTTCGGTCAAAGAGCAGAAGCAACTTCTGCCAAGACGCTTTCCCCGAGGAATTCCACGAGCCGTCGTTAAGCGCTTTATCAAAGATTCGAGGAATCTTTCTGATAAAGCGCGGAACGACGACTTCGTTTGTCAAAAAGATTCCTCGAGGTTTCATCGATCTGCATCGGTCCTTGTGCAAGTACGGTCGTTAGAATACCGCGCGACGTTTCTGTGATGTTGGAGTGATCGAGAAAAATAGGAAAAATAGGATAAAATGATAATCTTGCCATATAAATCGTGTCGAGAGGTGAGTTCGTCTGACCAGCAACGGTCCTCATTCTACTGGAAAAGAACTCGAGCTCCTCTCGAGGTAGCGTCGCGACGGTGATTCATCTGCTTTACGGTGTTCCCCTCGAAATGACGTTCGATGTCGTTAACGTTAACGGGGTATTCATTCCTTTCACTTACCTACGACGGTCCGTTTCATCCCCTGCCGTCATTTCGGACGCGCGACCACCGCCGTTCAAGGAGCTGGTTCGTTTAACGGGTCGTAAACTTGTCGAATGTGTAACGGTGGTCGTTTTACGAGTTACGTGAAAAGGACGTTTCATTCCACGAGAGCGGCACTCGAGCCAGAAGAATAGAACAAACGAGATTCGTTCGCGCCTCGTTTATTCGAGGCTCAAACTCTAGAGTGATCTTTGCGGGGGAGAGGGGATCGGTGGTGACCATGAAACGTAATTAATTTATCGTCTTGACGCGCTGTTCTACCCACGACTAGGCTTGGTAACGAACTGTGTCCGAAATAATTATTCCAAGTCTCGTGGAGGTGCATTGGTAATGAGACGGGTGTAATAGTGTAAACGTGTTCTGTTTCGGATTTGCATTTTCAACCAATCTGTATTCGTTTCTTTTCGACGTTTGGGGGACTTCATACAAGTAACTAAAGCTTCGCAATTTTATTTTGATAGGTATCAAGTTTCAAATGTACAGGGTGTAGAATTTAATTCTGAGTCGGTTGAACTCTGTGAAATGTAACGGAGAGACAGCGGTAGTCTTCATCGAAAAATTAAAAACAACAATCGATACAAATTAAAATATCATTTATAAATGACGCCAGAAACCTCGTTTCTGGCAGCAGCCCCCTTCGCCAGATTCCCGAATTCCACGCCGAGAGAGGACGAAGCACAAGGGAAGAAGGAGAAATTCGCGGTGTCGGTTCCACGAGCAAGAAAAACGCGAGGTATGCGGTTTGCAACGAGCACTCTTCAACAATGTATAAACGCTCGCCGCGGGGAAATAAATTGCCGCGGCGGTAAGACGAGGGAACATATACGCGACGACTCTAATTGCACTCTTCGAATGATTGATCATAGCGCGGGTGACCACACGGGACACCGACGCGAGGAAGAGACGCGAACGCAAAACTGCACGGCTGGCGTTTTACAATGCCGCAAAACGATCGTCGTCACCGCGCGCTCATGAAGTATTCGCTACGCCTTGTGCGTCGTCGAGACAAAGTTGCTGATTTAATGGTACAGTCGTGAGCCGGCTCTAAAGTCGCGTATATTAACGTAAATTTGAGCTCGGGCTGACTACTCGAGTACAATGGCTAAACCAAAATCTCGTGCCTACGTTGCGCGAAATTTATGAGTAACGAAATTACGAATAGGCATTATTAGTAGTATAAAAAAAATCTATTGATCGTTTCCTATCAATAATCAATTTGAATGTATCGGCTGTTCTCGTCGGTGCAAAACTTTGTACGCATCCTCTTGACGCTCATCGATGCGCGTTAACTTTGATTTGTACCTCTGGTCCAGTTATGGTAGAGTTACGATTTGCTCAAGTGTTACTCGCATGTTCTTCGAGTGAGCCAAAGATTGATTTACGCCAGCCTTTAGTCACTATTTAATCACGGTAGTCTCAAACGGTATCGAAATACTATTTTATTTTTGTGCTATGATTGCTCGTTATGACTTGAATTAATTTAATCCCAGTTAAATAATGTGTGATCAATGAATCTGATGAAAAGGAAGTGGACCATTCGGAACAAAAGTAAAGTAATTGTCCACGACTGCGCCACGACGAAGATCAACGTGACGTGGACGACCTTTAAATCCTAAGAACAATTCAACGCGTCTCGGTAACGTCATTTCGTCAATGTAAGTTTTTAATTACCCTCTAGTAGCCTGAAACATAATGTCTTTGTGCGTTGATTTACGGGCCCTAAAAGTCGTTTGTCCTCTGCTCAGTTAGACAAAGATCAGAGTGTCGCGTGGAGACGGAATGAAGTGCCGTGTTTTACCTTCTGCATTTTATTTTTTATTCCACGGTCGTAGGAATGATTTATTCGCGTCTATTCTGTTCGATAGAAGAAATGTTTCGAAAGTAAATAGCCACAATCTTTATTAATTATAAATTTGTTGCCAGTTGCACGAATTTGCTATTGTTCTCAGACACCGTAACTCAGTTCCATCGAAACGTAGCAGCGATCCGCGATCGATAGCATTTGGTACGCTGCGAGGTTCGAGGATAATGGCTGGCCGAATGATTTCCTCTAGAGTCGTAAATCTCCTGACGCTTTACGCTAACCCATCGACCAGGCAACGGTAAATCATCTTTTTCGGAACAATTGCTTGCTTCCCACTCAATTATGTATACGTGTACCCCGGTGACGACAAAGATAGATCGTGTATACGTATCGTTGAAACGAGAATAGCAATTTTACTGGGCCACAACCTGCGCCTCCCAGTCGCTGAGAAATTTACGAGGGCCCACTCCTTCCATATTGAATTACATTTCGGTAAACATTTGTCATAGAGGCGAATCGACGCCAGCCGAAAACCTCGTTGCAGCAAAATATTACTATTTCTACAGGTTAGTCTGTGCACTTTCGACGTTTTCTTTGAAAACTTTCATTTCCATTTTTGAACACAACTTTATTTATTTCTGATACGTTTGTATTTACACACCTCTACATTCATGAATACACATTACATACACAAATTTGTTATCTATACATTCACATTTTCTGCACGCTATAGTTGTTCTGTTAAATTTTATTTGATTCGGGAACACAGCGTAACTCTTCTCCAAAGAATTCTAGATGGAGATCGAGATAAACTTTTATTTTTACTCATCGCCAGCTTCGATGTAACCAGTCTGTAATTGCGTGGGCGTAATCTTCGAATAGAAAGAAGTATCGCGCGCGTAGCGATCATTCCAGCTATGTCTAATTTTATCGCGATCTTCATACGCGACACTGTTCTTATATTCGTTCATCGCGTGTTTCGTTTCACGATTCAGTCAAACAAACTCGTCCGAGTTTACATTGCTTCACTTTTAATCTTTAACCTTAACCAAGCATGGCTTCGGTTGTAGTTTGGATCATGAAGATAAGCTTGTAGATTACAACTAATTTTGATTTATTTGTTTCAGACGAAGAAGATTGAATTTGACTTCCATTTTCTCATCTTCAAAACAAATTACCTCTTGTAGTATGTTGAATTTCCCGTTGTACATTGGTCATTTGTAACAATTCTCTAAAACTTTCCGAATAAATTTCGAACAGAATTAAATTCCACAGAAAAAACTCCAATAACTTTTTTCTCTGTCACCACTAATAAAGGTTTGAACAGCGTCAGAATGTAATGTGACTTACTTCTCTTCATTTTCAGTCGCAACCTCCTCGCTGAATTTTTGCGCGCGTCACAGGAATAAGGAGACATCTGTACTACGTTTTCAGCGTTCTAACGACCTCTTCTGTCCACGTTTCTATCGAGGAAGTGCTGAACGATTAAGGTGAACGACTGGCCCGGTCTTCTGTCGTCGCAGCGGCACGCGCGATGCTTCCTAAAGCTTAAAGAAATCCTCTTTGAGCGCGACAACCGACGCCGACGTGGAGTTCTCGGACTGTTCCGGGGACGATTACGCGTCCGATGTAATTTATCGCGCCGGAAAACCAGTGTGCAGTCGAGTCGTAACTCGAAAACGGTGGAAACCCTCCTGCAGCAGTTGTAAACCAAACTAATATATCTGAAACGTCGAGCTTTTTGAAGGATTGACTAGTTTGAAATCCAAACTTTTCGGGGTTTCCATTTCCCCCGAGTAAAAGAATTTTTGCGAATTGTAGACTGTACGTTAATTAATATAGTCGCGCTTAAGTTATACCTGCTCCTGGGTCCTTCGTGATATTTGCTTTACGCTATCACCCCCTCTACTTCCACGATCCCTCGAAGCCATTATATTTCCCTAACAATATAAGCCAGATTGTCACTTGTATATCGTTCAGTGATTGTATCGTTCCCCAGCCATTGGTATCGTTAGGATACCTGACTCTCTGTGTCTAAGATAACCGCCACCAGTTTCTAAGAAACATATACATCCCCAAAATTGCGTAAGATTATTTTTACTCGTATTTCTATACCTCATTGGTTAACTACGTTTAGTCCGCGTTCAGGAAACGTAGTACAAAGTATATCGGCACATAAATCCCATTACATTCCTCATTCCTACTTAAAATACCGACGTCCAAACAGTTGAATGTATTGTGCCTTCCCTCTGTGGTTCAGATTATCACCTTTTTTTTTTTAATATAAAAAGCATGAAAAGGTCCGTTCAACGTATCAGGCCGCTGTCAATCGTCGCTGGCTGCACTCTGGTGCCCCTGGATTCGTTGAAGAGAATATTCCACCGCGACGAAGAGGGACCTGTCAGTTATTGCCTCGAAACGCGGACTCGTTATTGCCGTGGAAATATATCGGAGATCGTAAAGATCTCTCTAGCCGCTCGAGCCGCGATCTTGAAATACAAATTTATCGCAGATGTGTCGCTCGACGGCGACCAGAACCGCGGGTTTCCCGCGTGCGTTTTCCAACCCGTGTGCAAACCCGCAGGAAACATTCGCGTGGGCGTCAGTGGGTGTGGGTGTGCTCCGGTCGTTGGCGTCGCTCCAGCACGCGTTCCTGACTGTTCGAGCGAGAGATCTAAACGCTCGTTTCGTCGAGACGCCTTCATCCGCGGATTTCACGAACTTCAGCTACCGATACATCGATGAACAAAACATCGATACCTTGGTTTTTTACGGTGAGCTAACATTACTCATTGATTCTCCCGCGTTGACGAACAGCCATGTAGTGGCTAGGAATTTTACATTTAATTATTTCTGTAACTCTTAACCATGATTATGTAAATGTTGGATGTAAAGGTAGAGGAGCTTTCGAATAAAAAATCAAATTTACAACTTTTCAAGAAATATTTTATTTACCATTGATACATAATGACTTAATTCAATACATCAGTTGGAAATATTCCCTTGTAGTTATTTACGCAGTATTATCCGACATTATAATTGACTTCATATTAAGAGGTGCCACGAGAAATACAAGGTACGTATCAAATTATGGTCGGATTTTTACTCCCGGTATCAGGAGAGCATGAAATGCGAAGA